CATAGATGTCGAACAAGATCGGGGAAGGCACTTGTGCTTTGCGGCATAGATGTCGAACAGGATCGGGGTAAGCACAGGAGCGGTGCAAACACTTGTGATTTTAGGGACCATGTGCTTTGAGGCATAGATGTCGAATAGGATCGGAGTACATGCTTGTGCTCCGAGGAATAGACATCGAGTAGGCTCGGGATAAACGCTTGTGTTTTGAGGCATAGATGTCAAGAATCGAAGTAAACTCTAGTGTAAACTCCTTTGCCTTGCTTTATCGATGTCGAGCAGGATCGTGGTGAACGCTCGCTTTGAGGCATAGATGTCGGAAGGGATCAGGATACACGTTTGTGCGTTGAGGCATAGATGTCGAACAGGATCCGGGTAAAAGCTTGTGTTTGAAAACCGGGGTAAACGCTCATGCTCTGAGGCACGGATGTCGGACAGGATCGGCGAAAACGCTTTTGTTTTGAGGCGTGGATGTCGAACAAGTCCTCGAACAAGATCCGGTTAAAAGCTTGCACGGTGAGGCATGTATAGACATCGAACAGGATTGGGGTAAACACGTATGCCTTGGAGCGGGATCCGGGTAGAAACTTCTGCTTTGAGGCATAGATGTCGACAAGGAACGGGGTAAACGCGCATGCCTTTAGGCATAGATGTCGGAACGAATCGGGGCAATTAGATGCTTTGGGGCAGCGATGTCGAACAGAATCGGGTTAACGCTTGTGCTTTAAAGCATAGATGTCGACAAGGAACGGGGTAAACGCGCATGCTTTTAGGCATAGATGTTGGAACGAATCGGTGTAATTAGATGCTTCGGGGCAGACATGTCGAACAGGATCGGGTTAACGCTTGTGCTTTGAAGCATAGATGTCGAACATGATTGGGGTAAACGCTTGCTTTGAGGCATAGATGTCGAACAAGATCGGGGTAAACGCTCGCTTTGAGGCATAGATGCGAACAGGATCGGGGTACATAAACACTTGTGCTTTGAGGCATAGATGTCGAAAAAGATCGGGGTAAACGTTTGCTTTGAGGCATAGATGTCGAACAAGATCGGGGTAAATGTTTGCTTTGAGGCATAGATGTCGAACAAGATCGGGGTAAACGCTTGCGTTGAGGCATAGATGTCGAACAAGATCGGGGTAAATGCTTGCTTTGAGGCATAGATGTCGAACAAGATCGGGGTAAACGCTTGCCTTGAGGCATACATGTCGAACAAGATCGGGGTAAAAGCTTGCTTGCTTTGAAGCATAGATGTCGAACAAGATCGGGGTAAACGCTTGCTTTGAGGCATAGATGTCGAACAAGATCGGGGTAAACGCTTGCTTTGAGGCATAGATGTCGAACAAGATCGGGGTAAACGATTGCTTTGAGGCATCGATGTCGAACAAGATCGGGGTAAATGCTTGCTTTGAGGCATAGATGTCGAACGCGATCGGGGTAAACCCTTGCTTTAAGGCATAGATGTCGAACAAGATCGGATAGATGTCGAACAAGATCGGGGTAAACGCTTGCTTTGAGGCATAGATGTCGAACAAGATCGAGGTAAACGCTTGCTTTAAAGCATAGATGTCGAACAAGATCGGGGTAAACGCTTGCTTTGAGGCATAGATGTCGAACAGGATCGGGTTAACGCTTGTGCTTTGAAGCATAGATGTCGAACATGATTGGGGTAAACGCTTGCTTTGAGGCATAGATGTCGAACAAGATCGGGGTAAACGCTCGCTTTGAGGCATAGATGCGAACAGGATCGGGGTACATAAACACTTGTGCTTTGAGGCATAGATGTCGAAAAAGATCGGGGTAAACGCTTGCTTTGAGGCATAGATGTCGAACAAGATCGGGGTAAACACTTGCTTTGAGGCATAGATGTCGAACAAGATCGGGGTAAACGCTTGCTTTGAGGCATAGATGTCGAACAAGATCGGGGTAAACCCTTGTTTTGAGGCATAGATGTCGAACAAGATCGGGGTAAACGCTTGCTTTGAGGCATAGACGTCGAACAATATCGAGTAAACGCTTGCTTTGAGGCATCGATGTCGAACAAGATCGGGGTAAACGCTTGCTTTGAGGCACAGACGTCGAACAAGATCGGGGTAAACGCTCGCTTTGAGGCATAGATGTTGAACGAGATCGGTGTAAATGCTTGCTTTGAGGCATAGATGTCGAACAAGATCGGGGTAAACGCTTGCTTTGAGGCATAGACGTCGAACAAGATCGGGGTGAACGCTTGCTTTGAGGCATCGATGTCGAACAAGATCGGGGTAAACGCTTGCTTTGAGGCATGGATGTCGAACAAGATCGGGGTAAACGCTTGCTTTGAGGCATAGATGTCGAACAAGATCGGGGTAAACGCTTGCTTTGAGGCATAGATGTCGAACAAGATCGGGGTAAACGCTTGCTTTGAAGCATAGATGTCGAATAAAAGATCGGGGTAAACGCTTGCTTTGAGGCATAGATGTCGAACAAGATCGGGGTAAACGCCTGCTTTGAGGCATAAATGTCGAACAAGATCGGGGTAAACGCTTGCTTTGAGGCATAGATGTCGAACAAGATCAAGGATGTCGAACAAGATAAAGCATGTCGAATCATAGATGTCGGGATCTAAACGCTTGCTTTGAGGCATAGATGTCGAACAAGATCGGGGTAAACGCTTGCTTTGAGGCATAGATGTCGAACAAGATCGGGGTAAACGCTTGCTTTGAGGCATAGATGTCGAACAAGATCGGGGTGAACGCTTGCTTTGAGGCATAGATGTCGAACAAGATCGGGGTAAACGCTTGCTTTGAGGCATAGATGTCGAACAAGATCGGGGTAAACGCTTGCTTTGAGGCATAGATGTCGAACAAGATCGGGGTAAACGCTTGCTTTGAGGCATAGATGTCGAACAAGATCGGGGTAAACGCTTGCTTTGAGGCATAGATGTCGAACAAGATCGGGGTAAACGCTTGCTTTGAGGCATAGATGTCGAACAAGATCGGGGTAAACGCTTGCTTTGAGGCATAGATGTCGAACAAGATCGGGGTAAACGCTTGCTTTGAGGCATAGATGTCGAACAAGATCGGGGTGGACGCTTGCTTTGAGGCATAGATGTCGAACAAGATCGGGGTAAACGCTTGCTTTGAGGCATAGATGTCGAACAAGATCGGGGTAAACGCTTGCTTTGAGGCATAGACGTCGAACAAGATGGGGTGAACGCTTGCTTTGAGGCATCGATGTCGAACAAGATCGGGGTAAACGCTTGCTTTGAGGCATAGATGTCGAACAAGATCGGGGTAAACGCTTGCTTTGAGGCATAGATGTCGAACAAGATCGGGGTAAACGCTTGCTTTGAGGCATAGATGTCGAACAAGATCGGGGTAAACGCTTGCTTTGAGGCATAGATGTCGAAGAAGATCGGGGTAAACGCTTGCTTTGAGGCATACATGTCGAGCAAGACCGGGGTAAACGCTTGCTTTGAGGCATAGATGTCGAACAAGATCGGGGTAAACGCTTGCTTTGAGGCATAGATGTCGAATAAAAGATCGGGATAAACGCTTGCTTTGAGGCATAGATGTCGAACAAGATCGGGGTAAACGCTTGCTTTGAGGCATAGATGTCGAACAAGATCGGGGTAAACGCTTGCTTTGAGGCATAGACGTCGAACAAGATCGGGGTAAACGTAAACGCTTGCTTTGAGGCATAGATGTCGAACAAGATCGGGGTAAACGCTTGCTTTGAGGCATAGATGTCGAACAAGATCGGGGTAAACGCTTGCTTTGAAGCATAGATGTCGAATAAAAGATCGGGGTAAACGCTTGCTTTGAGGCATACATGTCGAGCAAGACCGGGGTAAACGCTTGCTTTGAGGCATAGATGTCGAACAAGATCGGGGTAAACGCCTGCTTTGAGGCATAAAGGTCGAACAGATCGGGGTAAACGCTTGCTTTGAGGCATAGATGCCGAACGAGATGGGGGAAACGTGCGGTGAGGATAAGATGCCGAACCAAGCGGGGGTAAAGCTTGGTTGAGGCATAGATGTCGAACAAGATCGGATATAAAAGCTTGCTGTTGAGCATAGCTCGTCCGAAGCAGCTCGGGGTAAAACGCTTGCTTTGAGGCATTAGATGTTCGAACAGTGGGGTAAACCGTGTGCTGTTTGAGGCACAGATGTCGAACAAGACGGGGTAATACGCTTGCGTTGAGGCACCAGATGGCGAGCAAAGATCGGGTGTAGGTCTTAACCGCTTGCTTTGCGGCCACAGATGTCGAAACAGATCGGGGAGGAGTAAACGCTTTGCTTTGAGGCATAGATGTCGAACAAGATCGGGGTAAACGCTTGCTTTGAGGCATAGACGTCGAACAAGATCGGCGTAAACGCTTGCTTTGAGGCACAGATGTCGAGCAAGATCGGGGTAAACGCTTGCTTTGAGGCACAGATGTCGAGCAAGATCGGGGGTAAACGCTTGCTTTTGAGGCATAGATGTCGAACAAAATCGGGGTAAACGCTTGCTTTGAGGCACAGATGTCGAACAAAATCGGGGTAAACGCTTGCTTTGAGGCATAGATGTCGAACAAGATCGGGGTAAACGCTTGCTTTGAGACATAGATGTCGAACAAGATCGGGGTAAACGCTTGCTTTGAGGCATAGATGTCGAACAAGATCGGGGTAAACGCTTGCTTTGAGGCATAGATGTCGAACAAGATCGGGGTAAACGCTTGCTTTGAGGCACAGATGTCGAACAGGATCGGGGTAAACGCTTGCTTTGAGGCATAGATTTCGAACAAGATCGGGGTAAACGCTTGCTTTGAGGCATAGATGTCGAACAAGATCGGGGTAAACCCTTGCTTTGAGGCATAGCTGTCGAACAAGATCGGTTAGATGTCGAACAAGATCGGGGTAAACGCTTGCTTTGAGGCATAGATGTCGAACAAGATCGGGGTAAACGTTTGCTTTGAGGCACAGATGTCGAGCAACATCGGGGTAAACGCTTGCCTTGAGGCACAGATGTCGAACAAGATCGGGGTAAACGCTTGCTTTGAGGCACAGATGTCGAACAAGATCGGGGTAAACGCTTGCTTTGAGGCACAGATGTCGAACAAGATCGGGGTAAACGCTTGCTTTGAGGCACAGATGTCGAACAAGATCGGGGTAAACGCTTGCTTTGAGGCACAGATGATCGGGGTAAACGCTTGCTTTGAGGCACAGATGTCGAACAAGATCGGGGTAAACGCTTGCTTTGAGGCACAGATGTCGAACAAGATCGGGGTAAACGCTTGCTTTGAGGCACAGATGTCGAACAAGATCGGGGTAAACGCTTGCTTTGAGCACAGATGTCGAACAAGATCGGGGTAAACGCTTGCTTTGAGGCACAAGATCGGGGTAAACGCTTGCTTTGAGGCACAGATGTCGAACAAGATCGGGGTAAACGCTTGCTTTGAGGCACAGATGTCGAACAAGATCGGGGTAAACGTTTGCTTTAGGCACGAAACAAGATCGGGGTAAACGCTTGCTTTTGAGGCACAATGTCGAACAAGATCGGGGTAAACGCTTGCTTTGAGGCACAGTAAACGCTTGCTTCGGCACGGGATGTAAAGATCGAGGTAAACTTGATGTCGCAGCAGGATGTCGAACAAGATCGGGGTAAACGCTTGCTCAGCAAGGATCGTTGCTTTGACATGTCGAACAGATGCGGGGTCGAAAACGCTTGCTTTTGGTCGGCACAGATTCGCATCGGTAGATCAACAAGGGGTAAACTTGCTTTGCATAGATTCGAACAAGATCGGGGACGCTTGCTTCAGGCAGATGTCGAACAAGATCGGGGTAAACGCTTGCTTTGAGGCAAGAGCGAACAAGCTTAAACAGCCATATGTCGAAAGATCGGGGTAAACGCTTGCTTTGAGGCAGCAGATGTCGAACAAGATCGGGGTAAACGCTTGCTTTGAGGCACAGATGTCGAACAAGGTCGCGGTGAACGCTTGCTTTGAGGCACAGATGTCGAACAAGATCGGGGTAAACGCTTGCTTTGAGGCATAGATGTCGAACAAGATCGGGGTAAACGCTTGCTTTGAGGCATAGATGGCGAACAAGATCGGGGTAAACGCTTGCTTTGAGGCATAGATGTCGAACAAGATCGGTGTAAAGGCTTGCTTTGAGGCATAGATGTCGAACAAAGATCGGGGTAAACGCTTGCTTTGAGGCATAGATGTCGAACAAGATCGGGGTAAACGCTTGCTTTGAGGCACAGATGTCGAACAAGATCGGGGTAAACGCTTGCTTTGAGGCACAGATGTCGAACAGGATCGGGGTAAACGCTTGCTTTGAGGCACAGATGTCGAGCAGGATAGAGGTGTTGTCGAAACTTTAAAAGGCGCCGGGACAGTCAGCAAGCAAAGATCGTTGCTTTGACACAATGTCCTTCAGGCCAAATGCTAAGAGAAAACAGATCGAAGTTCGGACATATCAATCCTTTCGCTTCGCTTTGTGTAGATCAAGTCGTAACGCAAGCCGTCACCGCACGCCCTTAACCGTCTGCTTTCGGCGGTTCGGTAGAAAGAACAATCAACAAACACTGGGGTCCCATTCGTGTCCGAGACGAGAAATGGGGAGGATTCTGAGTCTAGACACGGAAGCCTCCACCGATTCTTCAGTCCCTTGCAATGAACCCGTCAACTTTCTTCAAAGTTCTTCTTCTGCGCCAAAGCGAAGAAGCCTTAAACCCCTAAGCCCTAAGCCATGAAGAGGCCTCTCGAAAGTGGAGGCCTCTTTTCAGACGCCCGAGCCCAAGCGCTTTGGGGAAAGTGTTGACAGTTCAGGGTTTAGGGGGTGGGGGCTTTAGGGAGCAGTCCTCAGATATCTCACATTAGTAGGTTGGGCTTCAATCTGCGGTGGAGGGGATGGCCTTGAACCCGTAACCTTGATGTGGACCCCCACCTTTCGTTCCAAAACATGCCAAACCTGCAATACTTTCAATCTCGATCCAAAACCTTGCCTTCTGAACATGATTGAGACCCCATGGAACACCGCTACAACATCCGATGGTAAGCCACAGCAACGCTGAGCAACACTGCCAAACCCTGAGCCCAGAGCCGAGGCTCCGAGATATCAACCCAGATGTGGAGTGCGGAACTCTGACTTCAAGGATGCGGGTTTTCCAAGAGCCCTATCGGGTGTCCTCTTCGGGTTCTATCAGGGTCCTGTCAGGGTTCTTGCGCTTTATGACTCAGGACCTTATATAGGAGTTCAATTTAGGGTTCAGGCGCGGCCGCCCTGACCCTTGAAGCCTGAACCCTAAGCATCCTAGAGCTTGGAAACCCTAAACCTTAGAAGCCCTAGACCCTGTCCCATGACCCATCGAGAAGCCGCCGAGTCGCCAGCTCTTTCGCTGGCGAGGTTTGAAATTTTCAACACGAACATCACGACGTCGGAAAACTACGACGTCCTGCTGCTTTCTCAGATTGGTTGAACCGCTTAGGCAGGGTTGAGGCTCAGTGGGTTTGCCGGGTTTGGCTTTATGATGCTGGGATCGTCACACAGCTACATATTCGGACAGTCACATGCAACGCAGCGTCTCTTTTTGGCGGCTACACCAAAAAGGGTGCACACTGCGAACGAGCCACGCAAACTCAAAAACCCGAAACCCCATGCACATCTCCTAACCCTCCCCAAACCGACACCCCTGACCCCACCTACCCCATCCCATGCCCCAGACCCTAGTACAAGTAACCCAGAAACTCCAACCCGCACACAAGTAGTCCATCAAAGCCCTGAATCCGCTGCCCAAAAGAGAAGTTCAGCCGCTTTACATGCCCCCAACCCCCAGATCCGTATATGCCCAAACCGAAACCTGTGAACCCTACACCTTAACATTTACATCCAGTCACTCTGAAACCCCGAGCCCGAACAAATCCTGCACCCCAAAAGCCACTAAATCCTGAATCTGTCGGCTGCAGCCCAAACCTTTCAACCTTAAGCGAAAAAAATCAAACATCCCCAACCCCCTGACCTTAAACCCTATGCAAAACCCAAATAACCTATCTTTTAGGGCTTGTCCTTCCATAAGTGCTGAGAAAGGGTTCGGTTTTTCGGAGTCCAGGTAGGCCCTGAGCCCTAAACCCTAAACCCTACATCCCAAGCCACGACCGAGGCTAGAGCGAATACGCCAGGGCGGTTTGCAGGAGAAGCGAGTGGATCTTGTCCTGAGCTGTGCGAGCCTGGCGCACTTGCAATACAGCTCTCTGGGTTAGCGGTTGCGTTAGATGCCTTTTACATTATAATACTCCTTGTCCTTACCGTTTCTTAGATAATGATAATGATAGTAAGTTCAGATGCCTCGAGATCCTATTCTAATTAAGGCCGCTGCAGGAGGCCTGACTGTTTTGGGGCCAACGCCTGCATAAGATTGAACTGTGGTCCTATTCAGGCAGTTCTCGGAGCCCTCAACTTACAACCCCAGTTCGTGGTAGCACTCGGTGTAATATTCATCGCATCAGTAGTAGTGAGTAGTGCTTCTAGTTGCGTTAACGCTTGTTGTTTTGTGCTGATTCATAACTGTTGAGGTCGTTGCAGTTATGATATACAGAGCTGTTCAAACTGCTGGTAGCACTATGGTTCCTGTTGCAATCAGTGTTGCAGCTAGTTCGGTGTTGGCCATTTTAGCCAAGTGAAGTTGTCAAGAGTGGAAGTGTCTCTGAATACGTTAAAAGTAAATTAAAAGCCCCTATACCCGAAACCATATACCCATAAGCCTCAGGTGCTGGAGTGTTTTGCACCACACAGGCAGGATTCGCAGGTGTTCACCGACAGGCTGAAGAAATTCGATCTTTGCTTGCACCGTTCGAAGCGAAGCCGCATTGAACCACAATCGACCGGAGACTGAACTTCGGTAACTTTGCACTTTACCGGGCGTATGTTGCTACCATTGCTCGTGTCAGGCGAAGTTTAGGGAAGGCTGTGTGAGATGAAAAACCGTATACCGCGAGACTAGGACTCATAATCTCTAGCTTCATACATAGAGCCCTGAGCCCGAAACCTCGACGGATTAGGGTGTGGTGAAGGATATCTGCTGACTTGACCACTCAAAGCAAAGCCCACCGCCTTCAGGGTTTAGGATCTTTGCGAAGAGGCTTCTAGGGACTTGGGATTCCGGGTTACAGCTTCGAGCTCTACGGGTGCAGGGTTTGAGGTTTAGGGTTTAACTGGGGCTTGTGGTTCAGGGGTTAAGGGATTTTAGGGTTTGGTTTTGCAGGGTCGCCGAACCCCTGTGCAGCCCAACAGGTGGACAACTATGCTGCGCGCATGACGATCAACCAGGCCTGCGAAAGCTCCTCCAAACCCGAGAAGGAGGAACAAAAACCCTAGAACCCATCCCGGAAGAGTTGAATACTTACGGTCTGATAGTGTTTGGCGGCCAGCCTTTGTCCTTCTCATCTGTTTAGAGCATATAGAATGAAAGATTCACGAATATCTTTCCCGAGGGCCTTTGTTACCGTGGTACCGTAACTATTGTAACAAACTCCCCAAACCCATTTCTAAGCACTAAGGCGCCATGTCAGACCCTCTTCTCTCTAAACCCCGTAACTTACCTTTGGTTAATAGGGAATGGAGGAACAGTTATAACTACTATTACTACCACCATTCTTCCATTCCCTACGAACCAAAGGTAAGGTACAAGCGAGTACCGCTCAAAGTAGAGACTGCGGAGTCCAGGACCCATCGGATTTCGTTTCCAGGGTGTGTTGCTTGGGCTTAGCGCTAGGGTGGTCTTGCTGGGACTTCGGGCATAGGGGTATCGTTTTGGGCTTAGGGGTTCGGGTTCAGCGTTCTTGTTTGGGCCTGGGGGCTCAGGGTTTGAATTTTAAGATGTAGGGCTCGACGCATGCAACCTTGAAGCATAGGATTTGGAGCTGATGTGTTTGCGAGATTAAGGCTGTTTGTTATGAACAGAGTATCATCTGGAGAATCTCCTTGCGACGTTGAGCGAAGTGCAAGTGCCCTGAACCTTTTGGCCGATACCTAAACGCAAGACTATATAGAAACTTGAGCCACTCCCTACATGATGCCTTAGAGCCCCGGTCCATAATGATACAAATCTATTCTATTTAAGGCTCCTGTCTTAAACCTATGAGAAGAGAAAAGGGGTTCAATAGTCTCATGGTGGGTCCGACCTAGCTCAACAAGAAAGGGTATAAACCTTACAGACTTGCGCCCGGTAGCTAACGCAGAGCAGTACCGTAAAACACTAAGCCACTCCGTCCCCAAAAGAGCCCAAGTCTCGAAGAGACTTCTAATATAGAAGTCTGAACTATTCCTTAGCCTTCCGTTGTTCAAAGTATACTGCAATTACCATCTGCTGCAAACCTTATTCTAATCTTTAAGGCCGCTATTTATATGTACCTGACTCTTATCATCAGACCCCTTACCTTGCGTAGCTTAGCCCTTGCAAGAGGCTTGCAACGAGCTCGGCCAGCCCCATCCTGAGACTCTGGAGTTGCGGGGGGTACGGTCAGCACTTTAGGGTTTTAGGGTTTGGGTTTCGGGGGTTTGCATTTTAGGGTTTAGGGTCTGAGGTTTTCGGGTTTCGAATTTAGGTTTTCGGGACTCTGAGTAGTCGGGTGGGCGCCCTAATCCCTTTGTAGCTTTGGGGTTCGCTCTCCAAAGTGCCGTGCAGTACTTTGTTTGCGCAGGATCTGGCTTGAGTCCGGCGTGTCCGAGAATGCGGCCCCTGACTCAGAAGGGATTCAGAGTTCAGGGTCTAGAGTTTAGAGTCCTGGGCCCTAGTGCCGTGCCACTATGATGTGCTGCAGATGATATTCAGAGAGTTCTCGTGCAATAGGCGGTACAGTGGGCCCTAAGCTCTGAACCCTTTGCCCTAAACCCTAAGGCCCGAAGGCCAAAATCCTGCCCTAAATCGCACAGCCGAAATCCTAAACCCTTTACTTCCCAGACCCTAAATCCTCAAATGTGGGCCCTGAACTCTAGTCATCGTCGGCGCATGTGTTTCAATCTGTTCGGGCTGTGAGAAAGAGCGGGGGTTCTTGACATGCGGCATCGATTAAGAGTGTTGTGGGTTCAGGGTTGCGCAGCCTCTTTGCCTGTTCTTCGAGGTCTCCGGCCACATCCAGACCATGATTCCGGGCAGGCATGGAAGGATATGTTGTGCAAGCAACAATATATAGATACATGTGTACATACCCATATTTGTATGGATGTATGTATGCACGTATGTATGTGCGTATGTATGTATGTATGTATGTATGTATGTATGTACAAATACATATGTACATACATACATACATACATACATACATACATACATACATACATATATATATATATATATGTACGTATGTGTAAATACATATATATATATATATGGACACATACATACCCACAGGGAGAAAGGTGGGCGTTACGGTGTGCTTCTGACTTTGCCTGTAACAGTATAGGACCGGGCACTGCGAGAGCGCGAGTTTGCACATTCTTGGTTGTCTTTTCCACCTTTGATCTTGACTCACCCCCAGACCCCGTCTGGGATTCAGTGGTTTGAGGTTTTGGTGTTTAGATGTTTCAGGGTTAGCTAGAGGTTTCATTGAAGGCATTGATATTTAGGAACGCTATGGCCTTAGCGTTTCAGAGTTCACTCGAGCTATGAACTCTAAACCTTTTGTAGAGGCCTTTGTTCCCCAGGGCTGCCTAACAGTGCTTGCCTCCGTAAACTCTCCACACCCTGACATGACACGGAACGGCCAAACCCGAAAAACTGAACCTCTGAACGCTTTCTAACAGCCTAAATTGTGTGTCCCGAAGGTATGCCTGCTTTGAGTGCGCGCCGCCCGCCGTCGTAGCAGGCGGCGGTGACGAGAATGCCATTAAACGAGAGGCCGGATTTGCGCAGTTACTGCGACGATGATGACGACGACTGCCACTACTGCTGCTACCACCACTGTGCCGCTATACCGACAAACCACTATACCACTATGTCACATTTCACCACCACACCACTACACTCCTGCTCCTACTCCTACTACTCCGGCTCCTATTCCTACTGCTGCTGCTACTACTACTACTGCTGCTGCTGCTGCTGCAACTACTACTACTACTACTACTACTACTGCTACTACTACTACTACTCCTGCTACTACTCCTACTACTCCTGCTACTACTACTACTACTACTGCTACTACTACTACTACTCCTGCTACTACTCCTACTACTCCTGCTACTACTACTGCTACTACTACTACTACTACTACTACTACTACTACTACTACTCCTGCTACTACTCCTACTACTCCTGCTACTACTACTACTACTACTGCTACTACTACTACTACTACTACTACTACTACTACTACTACTACTACTACTACTACTACTACTACTACTACTACTACTACTACTGCTACTGCTACTGCTACTGCTACTGCTACTGCTACTGCTACTACTACTACTACTGCTACTACTACTACTACTACTACTACTACTACTACTACTACTCCTGCTACTACTCCTACTACTCCTGCTACTACTACTACTACTACTACTGCTACTGCTCAGGTGGGCCACGCGCCATGCAACACTAGCATCCATCAGAGAATGACCAAACACATTCAGAAGACATCAGAAGACATTTCTTGCAGACCCTACATACTAGGATCCCTGAGCGAATCCCAATCAAGTTCTAAACCCTAACTCTCCCTAGCATGTATAGTACCCCTTGTTTTTCTTATAGTACCCTAAACACCCTGAGCTGTCCTAAATCCTCACAGCTCCTCGCAGAGGGGGTGTGCGCTGCATCCCTGCCGACCACGATGGGCATCACTGCTGGCCTTTTAGCCCAGGCTCTGCGGCAAGCGAGAGAGGGTCCCAAAAAAGCACATCCGCGAAATTTCAGAGAAGATTTATGGTTATGATGGGGATGTACGACATAAATCCCTTGATAATTTTGCCCAGGAAGTAGAGGTATCTGCACAAAATGCCGGCGTTCGTGTCCTTGTTTGGACCCTTGATGGATGGCTCGCGGGTTGCCGCTGTTTAAACCCTACATCATTAAACCCTAAACCCGTCTAGGCACAGAGACCTTAATTGTAAACTCCTTACGTTTCTTCGGCTTCTTTGGCCCCTCCTACACCCTAAACCCTTACACACGAAACCCTAAACCCCTTAAACAAACCCCAAAAAGGCTTTCTGAAGGTCGGTCAAACCCATTCAGACTCTTATGTTTAGGAGTCTTCGGGCCCCTTGTTCAGGCTGCGCACAGTGCACCTTTTCGGAGTTCTGTTAGAGTCTGCAAGAAGAAAGTAGGCCTGAAGAAAGAAAGAATGTCTATTCGGGGGGGCTTGGCTTCGCTGTGATGTGCTTAGGATGCCTATCAACATAACCGCACGGGATTATTGAAGTCTCATTCTTGATTTTGTGTACTTTAGCATAGCAAGGAGGCGTCATTAAGAATGGTGCACATTTACAGTGCAAAGGGGCTGTAGGTTAAGGCATGTGGGTTTGTGATTTGTGCAGACGTGGAAAGGAGAGTGTTTAGGAATCACAGCAATTGTTATTCGCGGTCCATGCTTGTGAGCTTAGAAGCTGCATTTTCGGCGAGAGGCGCTTGAGAGTGCTCGACATTTTTCTGGGTTGGGGTTTTGGGGTTGGGGTAGATGGGAGCCTGAGATTTATGACTTATTTTCAGAGTTGTGCTCCGCACCGTGCCGACGCGGTAGCCTGAAGCTTGCACAATGGACTGTGCAACCCCGCGCCGGAACCAATCCTGGAACGTGAATCTCAGTACCAAGCTCCACAACCCTAAATTCTAAACCCACAACCCTCCGACCAGACCCTAAGTGCACAGCATCCGAACTCTGAGAGTCACGAAGCCCCAAACTCTGAACGGTCCAAAAACACCGAGCGGGTTCAGGGTTTGGTAGGGGCCCTGAAACCGGAACCCCTTGGAGCCAAAAAGGCTCCGGACGAGAAGTTTGGCTTTGGGCTTCTGTACTAGCTGGCAAAAGCACCGAGACACCTGGTCATCCAGCCCCCGACCTTTAAACCCTATACAAAAACCCGCCATAACATTCTGAAAATTTAGCTGCCAAGTTCCTTGGCATTCTTTCGGAAGGAACCAACCCAAAAACTTGTGTCCTCAACCCCCAAAGAGAGGCCAGACCTTATCTCCTCGCTCCCCAAAAAGGCCACCCTGAAGCACCTTCTGAAGTTCGGCACGGCGTGGCCCTCGGTGGTGCTGCTGGTGCGATTCTATAGTCTGCCAACGGCAATCCCAATCCCGTTTTTGATGTCGACATATATACAGATAGATAGATAGATAGATAGATAGAGACCCGCAGACAGAGAGAGAGAGAGAGAGAGCATTATGATGTCACATTATAGAGCCTGGTGCTATCCCGATGGAAGCCTTAAGAGAGAGGGTGTGGGTTCTTTCCGGATGAGGGTTTTTAATGCAGTTGGGGTTCGGAGGTTTAGGGTTTCGGGTTTAGGATCTAGGGTTTAGGAGTTCAGGCGTCTCGGCTCAGATATTGCATTTGGCTGTCTCTGTGATTCAGCCATTTGCATATTGGGTGCCAGGCCCTAGCGTTCTCCTGTTTCGACAGCCATACGCGACCGCGCCCAGTCTGGGGACTGGCTGCAGCTGCCCTTCACTGGGCCTGCACGGTGCTACGCACCCCGCCCTCCTCTGGGAGTGGCTCGGCCTTTTTCTTTTGACGGTTGGCCCCCGTCCGCCCTCGGCTGCGAGTGGCTTTACTGGCCTTTTTCCTCGGCGGTTGGGCCCCGCCTGCGCTGTCGCTGCAGTTGACTCTGCCGACAGGCGTGTGGATATTTCTATGGGCAGGGGGAGACCCTATCTCCTCCTACTGCCACTCTTTGCCCTTGGGATTTTCCTTCTGTGGATTGGGCAGGCTCCTGTGGACCATTCCTCGGCAAGGCGAACCTGGCTGGCACAGAAGGAGGCGTCACCAGCGTCGCAAGGCGAGAGCTCGCCTACACGCTGGCCGTGGACATCCACAGGACATCGAGCTTCTCAGCTCGCATCACGGATCGATGCCACCGAAGACTCCAGCCAGGGAAAAACAAGGGAAGGGTGGCAGCAAATCTGGGAAAGCAGAGGGGCCACTCCCGTCTACATCGCAGGTGCAACTTGGCTTCCCTGCGGAAGTGATCACAGCTCTGCAATCTCTCCGAGATCGGGCAACATCCGACCTGCGACTCGACGACTATACGGTTGCAGAGGATCGCACGCTTATCCAGGCGGCCAATCAACAGGCAGCCGCGATCACCAGAGCCACCAAGCGCCTGGAGGCGAACTCCCGGGCGAAAGTGGCGCTGGGGCAGGTCTTGGGACTATGGCTCGACCGGATAGGCCGCCACCTTGCAGCTGTTCCTCGACAGATCAACAATGTTGGTGCACGCCTCGATGCCGATATCCAAGACGCCACGGCAGCCCTAGATGCAGCCTCCCAAGGGCTGGTGGCAGGGCAGGCTGCCCTCCTGCGCCAGCAAGCCGCGGAAGCCATGGGGCCACCGATTGCGACCATGGTGGGGAACGAAGTGCTCCGCATTGCCGCCGAGCTAAGAGCAGCAGCTACAGTGTCGGCAGGCAGCTCTGCCATCCTACCGATGTCAGGCGGGCACTTCGGCATTCCGGACAACACAGGTGCAGGCCCTGCCGACCTCCATGCCACCATGGACCTAGGCTTTGGCGGGGTTGGAAACCTTGTGGAGGACGCCCTGATCGAGCCGACTACACGATCGCACATCCCGCCAGGACCCCCCGCCGCTGCATCGGGGCGCAGGTGGGCTCTGAAGAGGGCAACAGACCCGGCGGCCTCCAGGCCATCCAAAAGTCCCAGGCGAAGCGATCCCCTTTCGGACAATGCTGGCACGGCCGAAGGGTCTGCGACGCCATGGCCCAGTGCTGCCACAGGCCGATCGCCGTTGGGCCACAAGCCAACGCCTCTGTCCACGCCAGGGGATCTCCAGACCCAGCTGGATGCAAGCGCCGACCCATCTATGCCGAGCCCTCCGGAGCCTACTGGAACCCCTGGCGCAGCACCTGTGCCAGTGGAACTGAAGGACTCGGCTCAGGGCGAACTGGACTGGGTGGAGACGCAAAGATCGTGGCTCCAATCTTGGATCGCTGTGGTGCAACGCTTGGCGGCTCAGGGTCGCGATTTGGTAGGGGACGTGCCCCAACCGCCGGACCAGGCAGCCCTTCCGGGGCGCCCAGCCACAGACGCAGAGATCTCAAGTTTCCATGGCATCGCAGAGGCTATCTCGAAAACTTTGCTGGAGCATGCGCAGGACCCCGACTCGGTCACTGGCCCTCGCATCCTAAACATGGTGCAGGATGTCCAACACCTGGGGGGGATGGTGCATTCCCAGCCTGTCTTGGTTATCTCTTGCAGGCAGGGCGTCATTGCTTTGGCGCACCTCCTCAACTCGCGGATTCTGGGTCTGGACGGCTTCGCTCCGCAGACGCTGCAGGAGTGGGCAAACCCCCACGAGGTGCTGGGACGTGGCTTGACACCACATGGGCATCTCGCTACAGTCAAGACGGACGACGAAGCAGAAGCCGTGCTCCTCGACCAGGACTGCCCGTTTTTCTGAATCGGCTAGAGAGGAAGGTTGTACAGGTCTTCTGGATTCTCTGTACAGCTGTAATGGCAGTAGCACTGATTTCTTGGGTAACCGTTGTTTGCGCGGCAGCTGGTGTCCCTCGGCCCGTCACTCTCTCTTATGGATTTCTTCGGCCTTCTCTCCTATGGATGTGGTGGGCCCCTTGGATTTGCCTGGAACCTCCCTCTCGGGTTCGGTCTAAGCTCTGCCCCAAGCACAGGATCCGCGCTCCACGCCCTCGCTCAGGGAAAGGCATCGCTCTGCTTTGGCTGATTGCCTCTGCTCATGTTGCTGACTGCCGTGTGCCACCGTACCCTGCCCCGGTTCATGGCATGGTTACGGGCGCTCCTGCACCTGCCGCAGCTACCAACTGGCCTGCTGAGTCCACCTCTCTGGTTCAGGTGACACATTCCCGGCGCTTTCGAGGGGACTCCATCCTCGTTGTGCAACCGGTGCCTCGGGTGCAGCATCTCCATGAGCTTGAGATTCCCATCATGCACCCGGCAGCCGGGGCGGACAACCCGCATGCTGCGGGACCCAACCACCTCCGTCCAGTGGCGGTTTTCGTGGCTGGGCACCAAGCCGGAGGACCCACTACGGTTGCAGTGGACGTGCGTCTGCACGGCATGCAGATGCATCGGGTCCTGCTCCAATTGCTCGGGTTGTCATTCCAGCTTTGGCATGTTCATGAGCTGCAGACCTTGCTACCCAGCCTGCCTCCCGAGCAGGTCGTGGTCGTGCCGAATGAAGTTGCATGGAACCAAGCTTGCATCCCAGTTGATCTGTGTGCACTTGGCGGGGGGTATTCGGTTGTGCGAGGACCGCGTCAGCAGCTTGCGAGCTACTTTCTTGTAGCTGCGGCCCGGAGTCAAGACCTCCCGCTCGACCTGGGACGCACTGTCTGCCTCACCAGGCATGGGTTCTTTGATCCTAGCTGCCAAGCCCTTTTGCTTCACGGTAACGATGCCTTGCAAGCTCTGCCGGTGTATGATGTGGAGTATAGCCTGGAGCCACCCACTTCAGGCACGACGTCGCACCGTCTGGCGCTCAGCTCCTCCAGCATGCCATCACAAGGCCTGGATGACCTCCCTAACCCATGGCAACGGGCAGCGGTTATCACCCTCAACGGCCTTGTCTTTTATGACACGGATCCATTTCAGGATCGGGAAGGGCTACTGCGGTCCGCCTACCTAGCAGTTGAGGATACCACCCCCATCTTCCTGCTTCGCCTCTACCCGCCCATGCCAGGACTACCGCCGGTCCAGTTTGTGCAAGCCATAGCATCCGCATGGCAAACCACTTATGTTGTTGACGCAAGGCCCGTTGGAGGCGAAATCAACATCGTCTACCTGGGGCCGCGGGCACCGGTGCGCGATGTCCTCCTGCAGCTGCCCACGTATCGGAGTGTCGGCCCTGTTGGCTCGGATCTTGTTGCACGCATCCGTGAGGGAGAGCTACGAGCCCTCTTTCGGGAAGCTGAGGTTGGTGTTGATGCTGCCTTGCCAGGCCATGCGCCCTTGGCTATCCTTATCGCACCCGGACGCAACCGACCGGGCCCAAGGCAGCCCAACAACTCCCCTGCTGACCTTAGTAGCTCCCAGTCCGACACTCTACCACACCCTAACAGTGCCAGCACAGGCTTTTCTGGGTTCCTAGTTACCGGTTTGGCTCTCGTGCGTGTAGGCGGCTGGAAGGGAGTGTTGGCCTTGGTTATAGGCTCCCTTTACGCTGACGCAACGGGTAGGGCGCAAAGTCTGCCGGCAGACCCTGATCGTGCTTCTAGGGCCGTGCCGGCACCGAATGGCCGTCTGGAAGTGGTATATCATGATGCAGCCACGCACCTCCGTGTGCAACAGACCATCCTGTCAGGCTTTGAAGGTGACTTCATGCCGATTGTCACAGGGTTCGGCTCACTGTTCCACTCGGTTGAGCTACGCTTCTGCTTGTGGGCGCCGGACGATTTCGAGGAGTTCAAGTTCCCAGGCTCGGCCTCTCGGAACCTTCTCATGTCACGGCTCACAGAGACTGCCAGGGGATGGGGCAGGGGCAATGTGGTGGCTGCCTCCTTTGCACCCAGTGCACTGGCCATTCATTTTGTGGCTGTGACCACAGAACCGGGGATTCGCACGGTCCTTTTTACCACAGGTACCAACTGCGCCTGCCTTGATGTCGAGAGAGACCCTCCACGAGATTCTCTCCTGCGGCTCTGCTCCGACCGCCTGAAGTCAGACTGCATCCGTCTGTTGCCTATGCCAACGCCCCTCCGGCATGGGGATGTAGTTAGGGTTGAGGCTGATTTCGACTTCAACGGGGCTGACGTTAGTCGATTTTTGCTTTACGCGGAGAGCCTGAGCCCATCCCGCTGGCTTGCATCACCGGCCTACAGGCAGTTGGTCGTGCTCGGGAAAAGAAATGGTGTTTCCATCCTGCATGATGCTGACCTCTCCCGATCGGCCTTCTGTGCCGCCGAGGAATGGGTACGCGAATGTCTCGGGGCCAGGCCTGTTGTGCGGGAAGTTCCTGAGCTGTCTGGGTTGCTTGGATTTCCCTGCTTTCAGTCAGTGCGCATAGGGCACACCAATGCTGTCCTCT